AGGGAAGTGGGAGGGGAAGAAGTTTTAAGTCTCTCTTGAGGGCCTGGGAGGATACCGGTGAGTCCCTGGTGGAGGGCAGGGTTTCACTTAACTAGGGCTTATTTTGGGGATAGGGCTTATATTAAAATCATCTTGAAAAATCAGGGCTTATTTTCAGGCAAACATGGTAGATTATGCTAATAGTAGTTCTTAATTATACCTGATGCGTTGTTTTGTTTAGATACTCTTTATGAGATTTAACCCTTCGGATTTCTGTGTAGTAATAGGTCTGTGCGTGTTCGTAGAAAGCGTTCTCTAGCCTATAAATAAATACAAAAACAAATCAAGAAAGAGCATTTCCAGCAAATACAGATATGAAATTATAATTTGGAGCCAAAAATGACATTCTAAAAGTAAAGATGGCAAAAGATTGGCTGAAATCTAGTAACGTTAAGTCATGCTGCATAAATATGACATCATCATCAGATACAGCTATATTTTGGTAATTAAAAGTTCATTTTCTCCCCTTCCCCAGAAGATTCCTCAGTTCCCTTTAGGATCCCTTTTGTCCTGGGGAAGCCTTTGAGGCCAGTGAGAGGGGGCAGGAAGTCTTAAACGTCTGAAAATTGCTGGCACTGATTTAAACAGAGTTAAATTTAGATGGACTTTTAAACACTTCATATCTTTTTTTCTAAAGAGAGAGATCTCTATCGCAGATACAGCCCGATTCTGTTTACTAAGATATAAGTCCTACTTAGTTCAATGAGACCTACTATCAAGCATGCAATAAACAACATCATCAGAAATACCCACTGAAAAGCATAATTTACTCACCTTATAATATAGCCTACTAGATGATCAGTGTGCGGCAAAACAAACAATGATTTCCCAGAGAGGTCACAAGCATTGCACAAAGCTGCTGCTCTTTCAGAAGCAATAACATCTTCTCCTAAAAACACAGGCACATACACACACATGCACATACTTTGAAAAGTTGTATGAATAACCTTAATCTGCTACCTTTGGAAACTTTATTAGGCTACATTTATAAAGTAGAAAATTATCACCTATTTGGCTGAACCATTGGATTACTGAATAATGTCAATCTATGGTTTTTAGAACTACATAAACAGAAAGTCTATAAAAAAAGGTCCCCAATAGCCCATTATGGTGCAGCATTCACAATTCATCCTAAACACAGTTCTCCTTTGTAGAGATGGTGTCAGTTTAGCAGCCAAACAGGTTTTTCATGCTTCAAAGACCTGCATCCTCCAGTGGGTGCCCTGGCTTCCCTGCCCCACCTCCTCTGGGTGCTGTCTCTGAGTGAGCGCCTGCCAAAGGAGATGGGCTCTGAAGTGCCAACACCTGTTGACCGCTAAACAAACCGCCAGTTCATGCCCATCTCTACTCCACTGTCCAACATTACAATGGATAGCACTATTGTAATGATCTTCTTTGAATAACCTTGTGCAGGACCAGAAACCTGTGTCCCTCCAGATTTTGATAGCATCCAATTTTCATGATGCTACAATGGCTGGGACTGTTGGGAGCTGGGGCTCTAACCACAGTGGGAGGGACACATATTTCATATCCTAGTTCTGCTCAACAAATGATAAAAGGACTATAACCAGATTATTTTCATCTTGGGCCATCTAGTCTGAAGGTCAGCTTAGTCTACATATAAGGAGTGTGCAGCTGTGCACTAACAGAGAGAAAATGGTCACTATGCGGCTCCTTGATAAGTATTTACATGAATTAAAAGATTTAAAAGATGCTGCATTGTAGAAAAGATAAAAATATATCACAGAGAATCTTCAGTACATTCTGAACACAAAGCCTATGATCATGGACAAAAGGCTGCAGTGGTTTAATGTAATCAACTGGCTTTACCACAATTCAGTTATATTATATTAAGAGGCCTGGATTCCAAAGTTAAGGAAGTTCATAGAAATAAGCCCATGTGTTTGCCTTCCTTCCTACAGCAACAAAGGAACAGGATGGAGCAGGATGGAGTGGGCTGCTGGGGATGGGGAGCTAGTCCAAAATGAACTAGGGCACTTCTACCCTCTCCACACTCCATCCCATATTATTCAAGAAAGGCCTCTAAGGCAAGGTGTACATAGCTGCAGCAGGGGAAAGATAACGATTTTTTTAAAAAGTCTCGCCCTAGAATGCAGGATAAAGCATCTGTGTTCCAATGTTAATTTTCCCCCTAGTGAATTACAATCTTATCAGGTACTGGGAGCTACACAAAGTAGACAAAACACAAAAAATGTTTAGCCTGCTTTTTATACCAGATTCTGCTTCTCACTGTGTTTTCACTTCTTTCATTTCTGCCCGTGAATCAAAAATAGTAACACAATTTAAGATTACATACAAACTTATCACTTCAACTTTCAACCCAAGTTAACTGTACTTTACCTGGAGGTAATGGCGTTTTCTTCTGAATCAAAACTACAGCAACCTTTGTGTTCCTTCCCTGCAAACTCTGCCTATAAGAACAATATACAATGCCAAGCTGATGACTCTAAGTAGTCAAACATACTGTATATCACAATCAAGATGCCATACATATGAAGAATGTGAAGAAAAAAATTGCTTTTATGTAAAGAAAACTCTAATCAAGTCAAAGGAGGCATTTTTCTTTTTCTTTTAGATGAGCAACAGCATGTATCTATTTTTTAAAATCTCATGGGGTACAGAAGGATGTCTCATTTGCCATGTGTTTCAAATTTCTTAAAGAAGGTGATCAAAGCAATGTGAAAGAGCTGAAGTCTTTTTAAAGTAGCCTTTGAGATACTGTAAACTAGCTTGAGTTTCAAAGGGCCCCACACACATTTAAGTCAGTAGTGACTGCTCTAAAAGTCGAAAAAGATGAAAGTGAAACATGACATTTTAAAAAATGCATTATCACCAGATTATAAAAATCATTAATACTTAAAGAACCAACTGAAATTATACCTGACTATTTCAACTCTAGTAGCACACTCTGACTGTTTTTCTTTCCACTGTGGCTCATCCCAATCCAGTTCATAGAAAACCACAACAAGTGCAGGCACCAAATTGAGATGTTTGTTCATCCATCCAGTCTTCAAGATACCTTTAGGAATATACCATTCATATGATGTTCTCTGCAAGTACAAACACATTTAAAATGAGCTGTTCTCTCTGTTCACAACCAGAAAGGCATTTTTTTTCATACAATGGTAGCAGGCTTTTTCTCCTATGTCACTCTTGACTATGATCACTGGAACACAACCTTAGTCCTCCTTAATTACAAACATCACGATCCTAAATACATACACAGGAAGCAAGTTTAATTAAACTCAAGGGTCTCATTCTTGAATACACATGTTTAAGATTATGCTGAACTGTTCCTCTGAGTTGTTTTACTAGAGCAGCACCCTAGCAGCAAATTTCTCTTTGTAAGAAGATGAGGAAGATTTCCAGTCTACTTATTATGAATTAAGACTTTTGAGACAATTTAAAATTTGCTTTTGAAAATACTCATTTAATAAAGTTAATTATATTTTAAAATATCACTGAATCAAGAAAGTGATTTCTTACTTAAAAGAATTGCTGCAAACAGCAAGTAACTCCAAATAAATATAGTAGTACACTAAGAAAATGACTCTTGTAATAATTCACAGCAATACCTTTGTTCTGCATTTAGGATATTCGTGATCACCAGGGAGCACTTTAAAAGAAATTGGTACTCTGTCCGCTCTCCTGTTTGCACAAAATGCATCCCAAACTGCCCGATGAACAGCATTGTACACTACGTCCAAGCCTGTGAGTGTGACGAAGGCCATAGGTCGGCAACATAGTTCCACCGGAAAGTCCCACTGTGAAGGGCTCATCTTGATACCAGGCAGTAAAATCTGAAATATGAACCACACAAATATTCAAAATACATTTTCCACCAAATACTCCAGCATGTATTTATGAGATGTAATTAATTGCCAAAATCCTTTCAGATTCTAGGTGCATAAAAGAAGAACCATAAAAGAAGAAGCTGGGAATAAATAGCTTAAAATACTAGTCTGTAAAGATTTATTTAATAAAATACCTTTCTTAGCCTTTAAGCATATTATTGGGCACTCATGAAAAATTATTAAATAATGTCCTCACAAAGCCAAGCCAGCCTTCTACCAGTTTGCCTATATGGAGGGAAATCCATGATGATTTTTGTTGGTTATCTGGTGTGTGTGGTATATCAAGAAGTTCTATTGTCATTTTGTCTTGAATGTATGTGTTACCTCCCCATATTGATAATTATTTCAGATGTTCACAGCTCCACCCAATACGTAAGCAATCTCTATTCCAGGGGCCTGGAGATTCAGGAGTCTGGTAGGCCAATAATTTTTTGTTCAATTGGAAATTCTACTGTTCCTGCCGCTGCTATATCTCCAAGGCTTTGTAGTTTTATATCTAGTAAATCTCTTTTTCACATGACCTATAAGTTCTTCAGGAAATTATCTGCTTTAGGGCTGATAAACACGGACATTTGAGTGATTTTCCTCATACGTTAAAGCCTAAAGTGACAAGCATGAATAAGAAAGCTCTTCCATACACCCAGGTATTTGTCTAAGGCTAGATGAATAATTCAGTGCAGACAAGAGTCGAACACATCAAGTCAGAAATATCACATAGAATGACAGTAGATGCTAGCAAGTAGATATTGCAGTGTTGTTCCACATGCCTTGAAGTAAATTTTCCTATTCTTTAAAGTTATCTAGATATAAGTCAAGAAACAACTCTTTGCCACAGCTTGGCCTTGAAGTCCTCATGCCCTCAAAAGGCCGGTTGTATCTGTAAGACTATATAAATGTATCTACTGTACTCTTTATCATATTAAATATAATCTTCCTCATTCGATTATTATTGGTTTTAGTAATAATGTAATAACTAGCTTTGAAAGTAAAAGTCTATGATTAAAGTCCAGAAATGGCAAGCAGATATTCAAGTGTACAACTATAGTATTGCACAATTTATTGAAAAGTGAGTTTTAGTAACACCCACTGATGCCCGCTCCACATCCCCACCCATGTTTGTTTTGTTAATTATTCACGGAAGTCTTGCACCTTTCCCTTGCACTTGCCACAGCCCTTGGTTCTTGTTATCACCTGGCTCCTCACTGGCTTCCATAGCCAATGCAGAAGAGGAGGCGGAGATGGCTGCTGTTAGGCGACACCATCAAACAATCCTCTCCCTGGAGCCCTAAGAACGGGAGTGGGCAATAGTGAAGACTATATTTCCCAAGGTGCTGCACGCCGCCCAAATGGCTGCACTTTCTGACTCTTTGCTGCTTGGAATGCTGGAATTAGAAGTCCTGCTGGGCGGATTTGCAACATCTTTGTGGAGCATTATGAGTGACCGAGTAAACACCTGTGCATTCTGTTCTGCACAATAGCAGGCTACACTGTGAGGGCCACATGAAATGGCCCAGTGGGCCGAATTTGGCCCGCAGGCCTGGAGTTTGACACGTGCTGTAGCTCCAGGACAAGACTTTTTTAGCCTCAAGGCTGCAGTGCCTGCAGGAAAACGGGATCACATCCCAGTGGTGGATACAAATGAGGCAGCTGCCATTTCACTTCAACCATGGATGTATACATATAGACACTTGCATCTCATGCACCATGAAATTGCACCTAACTTCTGAGGACCATAATAAAGGTTTCGAAGTGAATGAAGTATGTAAGATTTACCAGAGCCACTCCCTCCACAACTCTCCACAGCCAAAAGGAGTTTTGAACCCAAGCATCCTGAGTCCTTCACCATCCCTCAATCCACTACATTACAATGAGGGTTCACACAGATATACGTACAGACAGAACACATCCATTTACACACTAACATGTCCACCCGCACATATCCTGTTTCCCTGAAAATAAGCCCTACACATATCCTGTTTCCTTGAAAATAAGACCTAACCTGAAAATAAGCCCTGGTATGATTTTTCACCCCTTCACAGATTGCCTTGTCATGGTGAAGGGGCTTGAGTAATTCAGAGAAGCTGTGGGCTATGCTATGCAGAGGCACCCAAGAAGGACAGGTCATAGTGGAGAATTCTGACTAAACATGATCCACCTGGAGCAGGAACTGGCAAGCCACTCCAGTATCTTTGCCAAGAAAACCCCATGAACAGAAACAAAAGGATAATGGATATGATGCTGGAAGATGAGCCCCTCAGGTCGGAAGGCATCCAACATGTACTGAGGAAGAGTGGAGGACATGCCTAAATAGCTCCAGAGCTAATGAAGTGGTTGGGCTAAAGCTAAAAGGACGCTCAGCTGCGGATGCATCTGGAAGGAAAAGGAAAGTCCAATGCTACTAAGAAAAATATTGCATAGGAACCTGGAATGTAAGATCTATGAACCTTGGGAAGCTGGATGTGGTCAAACAGGAGATGGCAAGAACAAACATTGACATCCTGGGCATCACTGAACTAAAATGGACGGGAATGGGCAAATTCAATTCAGACAATTATCATATCTGCTATTGTGGGCAAGAATCCCATAGAAGAAATGGAGTAGCCGTCATAGTCAACAAAAGAGTGGGAAAAGCTGTACTGGGATATAATCTTAAAATGACAGAATGAATTCAATATGAATCCAAGACAGACCTTTCAACATCACAGTAATCCAAGTTTATGCACCAACCACCGATGCTGAAGAGGCTGAAATTGACCAATTCTATGAAGACTTACAACACCTTCTAGAACTGACAACAAAGAAAGATGTTCTTCTCATTATAGGTATATTGTGTATATACTTACAATGACAATAAATCATCATCATCATCATCATCATCATCATTATTATTATTATTACGCAGAAAAATTGAACTAGGAAGCTATAAATTTCAGCGTGTATTGGCCAATTTGTCTATATTCAACGGTGCAAAAATCAACTAACTATGATTTTAACTTAACTTTCATTTTCCAGTCCTTAACTTTCATTTTTCTGGAAGCAACAGTTAGAACTGGATATGGAACAACTGACTGGTACAAAATTGGGAAAGGAGTACGACAAGGCTATATATCGTCTCTCTGCTTATTTTATATGCAGAATACATCATGCGAAAGGCAGGACTGGAGGAATCCCAAACCAGAATTAAGATTGACGGAAGAAATATCAACAACTTCAGATATGCAGATGATACCACTCTGACGGCTGAAAGTGAGGAGGAATTAAAGAACCTCTTAATGAGGGTGAAAGAGGAGAGCACAAAAATGGTCTGAAGCTCAACATCAAAAAAACTAATATCTTTGCCACTGCTCCCATCACCTCCTGGAAAATAGAAGGGGAAGATATGCAGGCAGTGACAGAGTTTACTTTCTTGGGCTCCATGATCACTGCAGATGGTGACAGCAGCCCCGAAATTAAAAGACGCCTGCTTCTTGGGAGGAAAGCGATGACAAACCTAGACGGCATCTTAAAAAGCAGAGACATCACCTTGCCAACAAAGGTCCGCATAGTCAAAGCTATGGTTTTTCCAGCAGCAATGTATGGAAGTGAGAGCCGGATGATAAAGAAGGCTGACCGCGGAAGAATTGATGCTTTTGAATTGTGGTGCTGGAGGAGGCTCTTGAGAGTCCACTGGACTGCAAGGAGAACAAACCTATCCATTCTAAAGGAAATCAACCCTGAGTGCTCACTGGAAGGACAGATCCTGAAGCTGAGGCTCCAATACTTTGCCCAGCTCATGAGAAGAGAAGACTCCCTGGAAAAGACCCTGATGTTGGGAAAGTGTGAAGGCAGGAGGAGAAGGGGACAACAGAGGATGAGACGGCTGGACAGTGTCACCAAAGCTACCAACATGAATTTGACCCCACTCCGGGAGGCAATGGAAGACAGGAGGGCCTGGCGTGCTCTGGTCCATGGGGTCACAAAGAGTCGAACAGGGCTTAACGACTAAACAACAACAAAGGTGGTTGTAAATGAAAAAAATAAAACATCCCCTGAACTTAACGACTAAACAACAAAGGTGGTTGTAATTGAAAAAAATAAATCATCCCCTGAAAATAAGCCTCAATGCATTTTTGGAGCAAAAATTAAGACCCTGTCTTATTTTCGGGGAAACTCGGTATTTCCTCTCCTGCAGGGCCAGGGACACTTTGCCCCTCCAGATCTTTCGGGTTACCACCAAACATAGCCAGTGGGAAGAGACTGGGCGAGTTGCAATACCAGCCATCTGGAGAGCCCAAGGTTTCCTCACCCATCCACCCACCCATCCAGGGGAGGGCAAATACAAAGAGCCCGCCCCCCCAGTACTGCCCAGGAACAACCAGCCTTCCGGAAGGGCTCGTCGCCTTTCCTCTTCTTTCCTCGGGCCCTCTTTGCTCTGGAGCTGGGTCTATGCAGCCCCCCCCCCGAAAGGAGGGCGGTGTTCGGACCTTTCCACCCCTCCTTCCCTTCCCGGCCCCTCTTCTCGGCACCTGCACTCCAGAGACCCTCCCGAGGAAGGACGAAGCACGACGGCGGGTTCCGCCCGGCTCCGCTCAGCTGCCGGCGGCAGAGCCCCTGCCAATGCCCATCCAAGCTGCAGGAGGAGGGCCGATTCCAAACAGGGGTCCAAGGCCCGGGCTACGGAAGCCAGCAAGCCTAGAAAGCAAGGTGAGAGTGACACCTCCAGCTGACCAATGGGCGACACGGCTGCCTCAATCTACGAAGCCAAGGAATGGAGGGAGAGCACTGGGGGCCGGACAGAGTTGAACTTGAGGGGAAAACCAATGGAAACAAAGGAACATCCAGCTCCGCCCCATCCCAGGGTAGAGGGAGGAGCGGCTGACGCACGTGGACTAATCGTGAGTCGCAAATGGTTGAGCGATGGTTGGTCACATGGACCAATAAGCGAAAGGGAAGCGGGGGGGGTGACTCCTCGGTTCTCGTCTCTCACCTACTTTTTGACGCCTGCGCACAAAGGGGACATTTACTCTTGTCAGGGTGCGCGGATAGTTGTGGGGAAGACAGACGTGGTGCAACCCTGCGCAGGACGATTTCAGGGGCAGGGGCGGAGGGGGGGGCTGGTTGTGGGGAAGACAGACGTGGTGTAACCCTGCGCAGGACGATTTGAGGGGCAGGGGCGGAGGGGGGGGCTGATTTCGGAAGGGGATATAAGGAGGAGGGTCGTCTTCTCCGGTTTCGCGCCATGACGGCGAATGAGGACCAGGAGGTGAGACGGGGAAGGCGAAGAGAGACCCAAGCTCGTCTGAGGAGAATGGGATGACGGCAAGGAAGGGGTTACGGTGGATACCGAAGGGGCGGGGCTAGAAGGGGACGGGCAAGGCGTTCGTCGTCGTCCCCCCCCCTGCATGGAAGCCGTTTGGTTCCCGCGCGCCTGCGAAGCCTGGAAGAGTGGCCTCCCCGAGAGCAGCCGGAGGGAGGGTGGTGGTGGTGGTCGGTGCTTCCAGATGTCGTTGGACTGCAGGTCCCATCATTGGCAGTTAGGCTGCAGCTGGCTAGGGTGGGTGGGAACTGTAGTCCCGATAACCTCAGGAAAATCACAGTCTCATATAACCAATTAAAAAAAATGAGAGCGTTGTGGCCAGCGGATTCGTTTCAGGGCGAGCTTTTGTGGACTAAAATCCACTCATTCAAGCACATGGGACATGTACCTGCAACCACTGCCTCTCCACCCCCTGCACGGGAGTGTGTGTGTGTGTGCACATGTCCAGTTTCTGTTCTCATACAGGCATTATGGTCAAAAACTGGAGAGGTTGGGACTGGTAATGGTAAGTTTTATTATGCAGTCATAGACCCAATTATACAAAGGTAAATACATTGAATAAATACGTAGCATAGTATAAAATCTTGCTATAGCGTTTTACAAATTCTCATATCTGAAAATAAAAACTTAGTCACTAACTGTGTTATTATTTGATTCTCTCTGGACAGCAGAAACTTCAGATAGTCTGTGGGAGGTAGACCAATACATTTACTCATGATTGAACCGAGATATCGAATACGTTCGTTCCTATACTGTATAAGCTATGTTTTGAAGTGATGTGTGCCAAGGTCTCAATAATTTCTATCCCACAGGGACAGAATCTTTCACCATATGAGATGTTATTAAAATGCCTTTTTAAAAGGGCTGAGGGAAAACTATTAAATCTAGCCCTTGGAAAGGCAAAGCGATATCTTGGTACATGAGGTTGGGACTGTAAAGGCAATGAAATTGTTTTATTAATTTTTTTGCTGTGATTATCAGCACAATAGATGTGCTACATCTCTTGACCTAGATAGAAAAAATATACAGTGTATCATTCAGCAGTACAGGTGATCCCAGCTTCAGTCTTCATCGTGTTTAAGTTAGACAACAGCAGCAACAGAATGGGCAATATCAGCTAGATGAGCAAATAGTCTGGCCTGCTATAAGGTGACTCCAAAGATTTCCTTCTTCTAAGGCATAACTCTGTAAATAAATAAATTCAGAATGACACATGGTGCAGTGTTTCTGTGATATCTCTGTCCACTGTTGAGAGTAAACATGGCCAGCACTGGGTTGATTGGTTTTTATTTTTCATGATTCTTATATAGCATGAAAATTGACATTCACAAGGACTGCACAGCCATCTTTACTTTTGTTTCACTATACAGTACCTAATTCTATAATTAAACATTAATTGTGTGTTCTGTTGCAGCAGAATTTTAAAAATAAGTTGGGATAGTACACTGTGTTGTACTATTCACAAAGGATCAACAATGCAGAAATTATTTGCATGCTTCATTAATTGTTGCTGGAACTCCAGGATGTACATTATTAAACAATACATGCCCAAAGAGGTTTTGGATTGGGGTGTGTATAGACAGCAGTTCCCCATGTGAATTAGCAAATTGCTCCTGAAATGGGAAGTACTTTAAAAGTAGATTATGATATGGCTTGATGTTCTATTGATCAAGAGAAAAGGGTTGTAAGGAGAAGCACGCCTGGGGAAAAACCAGGCATGTACAGTAGTACTATATAATGTATGTATATATCCTGTATAAAAGTATTAGTTGCTTTTTAATACATTGGCCAAATTTCAGTTGCATAGTTATGACACCAAAAAGGAAACAGTATTATTTATATTGTACTCTACAACGGGGTGCATTCCAATAAACAGTACAGTGATGCCTCGGAAGACGAATGCCTCATGCAACGAAAAGCTTGCAAGATAAAAGTGTTTTGAAAAATTTTTTGTGACTCACAAGATAAATTTTTCTATGGCTGTGCTTCGCAAGATGAATTTTTCCTCTTTTTTGGTTTGTTTTAAATCGCACAACTGTTAGTACCATGCTTCGCAAGGCGAAATTTTTGCAATATGACAGAACTCGTAGAACGAATTAATTTCGTCTTGCGAGGCATCACTGTATTATTATCATTATTTATATTGCGCTCTACACCAGAGTGCATTACAATAAAATTAATAGTATATAAACGTGTAACACATTTAATCACAACTAGAGATGGGGATATTCTTATTTATAAATTAATATTAATTAATCATAATAAATAAATTAAATAAATAAATATGAATGTTCCCTGCTCCTGGGACCAGAGTGCGAAGAAGCTGTTCTTCCTGCCAATGGCACCTGGAGCTCTGCTGTCTTCCTGCTCGTCTGGCCATTCAGCAACCATATGTGGAGACTTGTCCTCCTGCCCCCTGCTTAGAGTGGCCAGCCAAGCAACAGGACAGTGGAGCTCTGGGCACTATTGGTGGGAAGAGCAGGACCCCTTTGGTGCCAGGACATGTGAGTGGTCGGTCCAGTCTTGGGGGCTGGATGTTCATTAGGTCCAGGTGGGATGGGAATATTGGTATTCATTTATGAATACAAATATCCCCACCTCTAATCACAACCTTAATGGATGTGGGTGTGTACACACACCTGTACATCAACAAACTCCTCAAAATAAGCAGTAATCAAAAGGAATTGATCACCTTACAGTGGCTTTTCACTGACAAGAGGTATCTGCTGTGATTTCTGGACATGTGCCAACTGACCAACCTGGCATACACTGAAAAATCCAAGCAGGAATTCATTAATTGGCAACAAGAAGCTGCTGCAACTTGCCACAGTTTGCGCCCTACAGCTATAACTAAGCAACAGGATTTGGGCCATAGAAAATAAGGGAAATGTATAGGTCAGCACAATGCCAGTGACTGCAGTGAGACGTGGATTCCTTGTGTAACTTATTGCTCATTATTTACACTGTTCAGTGTGATCAGTTTATTTTGCACCTTATTTGTTTACTTGATCTGTTTACTTCGTATGTGGCATAACATACCTCCTTGGCCTCTTCTGATCATACATAGGATCCACGTATGTAACATTTTCTGTAAAACTGTAAGTCTAGTTTTCAGAATGAAACTCAATATTATGTGAATCTAGATACTAATGCTGAAATGCACTGTACCCTGTGTAATATGTTACAATAATAACAGAATCCCTACAAGATTCCAGATAATCAGTGTGGACTGTATGCTCTCGGCCATTACTTACAATACTGACCTTACGTCTATTGTTTTTTAAAGATTTTTTTTCTTGTTGGCTTTTTAACTATTGGTTGTTTTCTTATTCTTTCAGATGGAATTAGAAGCATTACGTTCCATTTATGAAGGTGATGAGTGTTTTAGGGAACTTAGCCCTACTTCATTTCAGTACAGGGTGAGTTTGGAGGAAATCAGACTAATGTAGAGTAATTTGCAAGGACTTGAAATATTTAGGCTCTGATTTTCATTAAAGGTACACAGATATCTATGTGTGTTCCCTTAAATTGTGCAAGGGCCCTGCCTCATTTATCCAGATAGTGTTGTCCCTTAATTCCTCCCTATCCCCCATGCCTTCTGGCTTTTTTCTTACCAGAAAAACACTGTTAAGGAAGAGAAGACGGAATAGATGCTCACTGCCTATGATTTGGTAGATTCCCTTTATCTGGAAGTACACTGAAATAGCTCATAGTTCAATTGCAAGTGCAGAAATGCATTTAAAGAGTTATAGGCACAGTGGTCTCAATCCAACATTTCTCCAAACTAAAACAGGCCCATTGAAATGGAACATAAATTATTGTTCACTCAGTGTATCTATTATAGATGGGACTAAAACTGAATTTAGCATTGAAGGCTCAATACTAGTGAAAGCACTAGAATATTATGTCCGATAATTACTAATGAGAAAGAAATTTTGCAGCACAGTCCTGTCTGTGTTTACTTGGAACTCAGTTCCATTGTGTTCAGTGGCTCTTATTCAGTAGTATGGGTATTTAGGACTTCAGCCTTAACTTTGTTGTGAAAAATGTAGCAACTGTAAATTCACAGGTGGAAGTCCAGTCCTTAAATATGATCTACAATTATTATAGTTATATCTGAATGTGAAGATGGTTGAATTGTGGTAGCTGCTGACTTGTTTCAACAATGAAACTACTGTTATTAAAGGAGTTGTGTGAGTTATCTGTGCTAATAGTATCAAAGGCAAGGAATACTATAACAACACTGCCATATACTCAGTTCTTGATCCTGGTATAAGAGATAAACAAGACTTGGGATTTTACCCTCTTCTCAAGCAGCAAACAATATCAAACCTACCACAATATGATTTTACCTGTACTTGCTTTCTGTCAGTTGTTCACTCCTTTCCCCTTCAGAGGTTATCTAGTGGATTCAGGGAGATATGTAACATCAGTTTTTGTGGTATTGCAAGTGATTTTCTGTAGTTTTGGGAAAAACAAATCAGATTTTCCAGATTCTTGCACAATCATAATTTAGAAATCTTTTTTTAGATAGGTGAAAACGGAGACCCTAAAGCCTTCTTGGTCGAAGTATCATGGCCAGAAACATATCCCCAAACAGCTCCAGTCATATCCATGGATGCATTTTTCAACAATGCCATGTAAGTAGTTCAACTTTTACATCTTAGAAGTTATCTTCCTTATAAAGTAATACTGTTCTCCATCTATTTTTATAAGGAAATTATGTGATCTCTCATAGATCCTCAGATGTGAAGCAAAGTATATTGAATAAATTAATGGAGGAAGTTGAAGTTAACCTTGGAACCTCTATGACATACACCATTTTTGAATATGCCAAAGATAATAAGGAGTTATTCATGGAAAATCAACGTGTTAATACAGTGGTAAGTTTATAATTTTGGTTGATGATTCATCTTAAGCAGTGAATATATTTTTCTAAATATTGGCCAAAATCTTGTTGCTTAGTATTGTAAATTGCACAGAATAGACCTGTTGAATCAGTAGGTTGAGACAACTCCATAATCTCCATTGGTTCAAATGGGTCTACTCTAACTGTAACTTAAAATATTAAAATAAGTTACAGCTAGAGTAGGCCTGAATCAGTGGAACTTATGGAGGAGTTAGCTTACTAGGTCTCCATTGATTCAGTGGGCCTACTCTAGTGTGGTTTACTGTGTTAAACAACAGGATTTTGGCCATTAAGATACTGATGCTCTTCAACCATCACTGCTACTGAGAATGAATGAAAATTTGTACCTGAAATGTAATAATGTTGTCTGTTTATACTACTAGAGTAACCTAAATTAGATGTATAAAAAGAGTGATTTCAAAGACTAGTTATGCATTACAAAACTGTATTATCAACAAGGATCAAACAGCTGCATAGCTCAGTGGTTTAGGTGTCTGAATGCAATGCCAGAGATTTGGAGTTAAAGGGCCCTTTGTCTTATTGACAGTGGCTGGACTTGATGATCCATAGGGTCCCTTCCAGCTCTGCAGTTCTAAGATTATTATTATTATATTTCTTGTAGAACAAATGCATTTATCTGATAATGGGCTTTCATTTCACAGTTGGTGTGAAGTTGCTAACTGTTTAGATTTTTGACTGAAGCAAAGATTCCAGAGCTCGTGAACCATCACAGTAACTCTTGCAACTTCCACTCAAAAAGTTTTTCTTACTAAACTGGATCTTTTAAAAAGTGCACCTTGCACATTCTAGTGTCCAAAATACTGTAAACATTTCAAATTATAGAGTGGGGAAAGGGTGCAAACAGTCCTTCAAACTATGACAAAGGTTTCCCCCTATCTTTAGAGGGCATAAGAAGCATTTTGAGATGAACAGTATTTTCCAAAATGCTTTAAAATGTTTTTTGCGGATGTGGTGTTGCTCTGGGGAAGTAAGGGGGTGTATTTGGGCTGGGGCAGCAGCATGTTACCCACCCAACAATAGTGAAAGAACCATGGAAGCCAAGATTGAAATGATTATGTCTAATTAAGATAAAGTGGCACTCAATTACAGAAATTCTTATTAACTAATTAGCTTTCTTAGACAGCATTGAACAACTGCATTACAATTGCACATCCTGACACAGCGCAACCAACTAAGAAGAAAGAGAAAAAGGAACAGTTATCCAAAACACAAAAACGAAAGTTAGCAGACAAGACAGGTTTGTAAAGTGTTGTTGTTTAGTTGTTAAGTCATGTCCAACTCTTCGTGACCCCATGCACCAGAGCACGCCAGGCCCTCCAGTCTTCCACTGCCTCCCAGAGTTTGGTCAAATTCATGTCGGTAGCTTCGATGACACTGTCCAACCATCTTGTCCTCTGTCATCCCCTTCTCTTGCCTTCACGCTTTCCCAACATCAGGGTCTTTTCCAGGGAGACTTCTCTTCTCATGAGATGGCCAAAGTACTGGAGCCTCAGCTTCAGAATCTGTCCTTCCAGTGAGCACTCAGGGTTGATTTCCCTCAGAATTGATAGGTATTTTCTCCTTGCAGTCCAGTGGACTCTCAAGAGCCTCCTCCAGCACCACAATTCAAAAGCATCAATTCTTCTGCGGTCAGCCTTCTTTATGGTCCAGCTCTCACTTTCATACATCGCTACTGGAAAAACCATAGCTTTGACTATGCGGAGCTTTGTCGGCAAGGTGATGTCTCTGCTTTTTAAGATGCCGTCTAGGTTTGTCATTGCTTTCTTCCCAAAAAGCAGGTGTCTTTTAATTTCATGGCTGCTGTCACCATCTGCAGTGATCATGGAGCCCAAGAAAGTAAAATCTGTCACTGCCTCCATTTCTTCCCCTTCTATTTCCCAGAAGGTGATGGGAGCAGTGGCTTCTTTAATTCCTCCTCTCTTTCAGCCATCAGACTGGTATGATCTGCATATCTGAGGTTGTTGATCTTAATTCTGGCTTGGGATTCATCCCGCCCACCCCTTCGCATGATGTATTCTGCATATAAGTTAAATAAGAGGGAGACAATATACAGCCTTATCGTACTCCTTTCCCAATTTTGAACC